TCCAGGCACAAGAGCCAAGTCATCACTGGAAGACTGCACTGAAGGCCAGTTCAAAAGTCCCGTCCTACACAGCACCCTGGCATGCACAAGTTCTAAACGCAGTTATGGTGCTGGCATCAGCAACCATGTGGCACTTTTCATGATCTACTGGTAATGTGAGATTTCACACTGAAGACCTAGATACCTGCAAGGCATCAGTCTTTGCATACTCCTCAAATGAGCACTGCCATTGCTTTAGAAATCTAAGTATACGCACAGAAATGAAGTGATCTGACTTGCAATGAATGTGACCATCTCTTGGTTTACATCTAGCACATTTGCTTAAGCATCTAGTAATCAGGAAAATAAGTTGTTCAACCTGACCTGAAACACTTTATACTTGGGCAATATCCACTCTGGAAAATAAACACAAGCTGAAGGTTGAGTGAGATTCTCATTTGCTTCTGACATGCTCAGCTAAGCCGAGTAGCAAGAGGCATAAGATAGATGCAACACGCTGTTAATGAAAGATTTACCTAAGAGAATGCAACACTGTCACAGTTGAGCCTAGCCTTCACATCCTATACTGCTCTAGCCAGGATGTCAATAGACACATGAACTGCTTTTGTTCCTATGCAACATCTATTTTCAGCACAAGATCACAGCTGACATGACAGTGTGAGCAGCTGACCTAGGTTATAAAGCCTGAGGATTGTTCCCTACATCTGTATTAAACTGACCAGATGAATTTTAAACCAGAGGCAGTCAATTGACCCCATGGCTGTAAGAACATAAGCAACACACTAACTGAACACAAGAGTAGTTCTGCTTTTCATGGCCAGTTCTAACAGAATAGCCTAATCTGCTAGAACTTCAGTCAGAACTGACCTGTTAGTCTAAATTAAAAATGATACTCCCATCTAGTAGAACAAGGGTACCCAAGTCACAGCTAGAACTGAGGTTAGGGCTAAAGAATTCCATTTTATTAACTTAAGTCAAATACTGCATTATCTGATCACTGTAGATTTCCCATACAGAAGGAAGTTGAGACATTTTTCATAAACTTCTGCTAAGCAGGTATGCTCCTCTTCATCAACAAGCTTCAAAGCTTGGCCTGAATCACACACAACTATTAAACCGGAAAGAAAATAAATAAGGTTGAAATAGGACTGGAAGATATTCTCCAGCTCAAAATCTAGTCTCTTGTAATCAGACTTTGGTATCATACAAAGTATTCAAGCATTGTCTCAACACCTTTGGACGTTCTACCTCTGCTAGTTCTGTGGGAAGGTTTCTTCCGAATCACCTACCTCTAAGTACATTAGAAATAGCAAAGTTATCTAGTTTGTAAATCAGCATGCCCTGTGCCCCCAAGCAAGGAAGATGTCAGCTTGCTCTAGGAATGAGCTTCAGGCCAAAGGTTGATTCCACAGGAAGCCGGCAGACAGGGGCTATGTTCATTTTGTGGGAAGACAAGGTGTGGCCAGGGCACTGGTGGCAGAGGCCCTGACAAGGGGAAGCAGTAGATTCCTTATGCTACAGCACATCCTTTCTTGGGCATCTCTTCCACTTTTAGCTTACTGCATTCCTAAATCACTGGCTCGCGCTAAGCCAAGTACAGGAGAAGACTAACTTAAGTAGCCTTTGGCTTTAGAGGTGTTTCATCTCTTCTTACAGGTAACACAAGGTCAGTTCCTGTTGCCTCTTATGTGACTGACTCTAGCTTTAGAGCTCTGAAAAAATAGCTATTATAGCAACAGCGTTACATTAAGCTAAAATTCCTAATCTTTCAGCAAAAGCTTTACCACATTTGTTTCATTGTGGGATTCTGGGGTCGAATGCACACTATTTGCTCTTAAGAGTAGCAATACCTTCAGAACTGGTCCAATTACACTATAATTTTCTTTAGTAGTCTTCTCAGAAGCAAATTCTATCATTATGCCAGACTTTTTACTACTTGTATACAGTTTGTGAATGTACATAGTGTTTGGACACTAGCAGTTGTCTCAAAGAAGTTTATTCCCATCTTTTGACATGATTTACACTGTTGCTGAAAAGGCAGTAAAATGGCAAAGACCTGCAATTCACTTTGGTATTTAATATTCTTCACCTTCATCTTCTCCATCCATTGAGTCTGTGCCCACTTCTTCATAATCCTTCTCAAGTGCAGCCAAGTCTTCCCGAGCCTCTGAGAATTCTCCCTCCTCCATCCCTTCACCAACATACCAGTGAACAAAGGCACGTTTGGCATACATCAGATCAAACTTGTGGTCCAGACGAGCCCACGCCTCAGCAATGGCTGTAGTGTTGCTCAGCATGCACACCGCACGCTGCACTTTGGCTAGGTCACCACCAGGAACCACTGTTGGTGGCTGGTAATTGATGCCAACCTACATGAAAAGCAGAAAAGACAGTGACTTTTTGTAGCGTTTGACAATGAGTAATCAAAAAATTCAGACAACAGTAGCTGAATAGAACGTTTCACTTCTGAGGAAAAGCTCTGTATAGGAACATAAGCCTCCATCTCTCAAAATACAGATTAGGTACCTCCAGAATATCTTAATGAGAAAACATACTTGATAAGCCCATAACGACAGTCAGCAAGAAGTCTGTACACAAAATTCAGGACGACGCAACTGAGACTTGCCTTAAAACCAGTAGGGCACCAGTCCACAAACTGGATTGTGCGCTTGGTTTTGATAGCAGCAATAGCAGCATTGACATCCTTGGGGACAACATCCCCACGATACAGCATACAACAGGCCATGTACTTGCCATGGCGAGGGTCACACTTCACCATCTGATTGGATGGCTCAAAGCAAGCATTGGTTATCTCAGACACAGACAGTTGCTCATGATAGGCTTTCTCTGCCGAAATAATTGGGGAGTATGTTACCAATGGGAAGTGGATACGAGGGTAAGGCACCAAGTTAGTTTGAAATTCAGTAAGATCCACATTTAAGGCACCATCAAATCTGAGGGAAGCAGTAATGGAAGAAACTATTTGACCAATGAGGCGATTGAGATTGGTGTAGGTCGGGCGTTCAATGTCCAGATTCCTGCGGCAAATGTCATAGATGGCCTCATTGTCAACCATAAAGGCACAGTCGGAATGCTCCAAAGTGGTGTGGGTAGTCAGGATGGAGTTGTATGGCTCAACAACAGCTGTCGAGACCTGTGGTGCAGGGTAGATGGCAAACTCCAATTTTGATTTTTTTCCATAGTCGACTGACAGGCGCTCCATCAGCAGAGAAGTAAAACCTGAGCCAGTGCCTCCCCCAAAACTGTGGAAAATCAGGAAACCCTGCAAGCCAGTGCACTGATCAGACTGAAAAAAAAAGCAGAAATACATGTATTACAGCAACCGTGCCTAGACATTCAGAATCTCACAAGAAGCCTATCTGAAATTCATGAAGGAACCAAGTGCAAATTCTGACATATACCAACTGTCCACGTTTCAGGAAAATAACACTGAATTTGATTCCTCTATTGGTAATCAAGAACATGCTCCACAAAAAACATTCCAGACTTGTATTATTGGGTCTTTTAAGTCCTCTCCTTATTGGAAAGGGACCTCTCCATTTTAAATACTACCTTAGAACTTGATCTAGCCTCTGTTCTCAGGAGAAGGCCATTTAACATTGACCCAGTAAAACAATAATTTTCAAAGTATTATAGAATTCTAACCCTTATAATGTGACATTCCCTACCAGCCCAAAAGGTATTAACACTACATTGTCCAGGAACTGTTGTTATAGTCCTATAAGAATTGCAAGCACATTACTGAGTCCAGGGGAATAAGCAGACAAAATTATTATGTTGCCATTCTGGTTCTTCTCAGCTGAAGAAACTAGACTACATTCTCCCCAGAAAGGAGTGCCACGTGATGCTCAGCTTCTACTCCCTGTCTGTCCTGGGAATCAACAGCTACTGTGTAAAAGGAAATTGGGACAGCATTTCCTAATTCAGAATACAGACTACTACAGACTTATCTGTAAAGCACTTTGCTGAGACATCATCTCTAAAGCTAGATGTTGAGCATAAAACAAGTTTTCACCTGCAAAAGGTTTATTTTTCAATGACTCATTTAGTATTCCATATTAAAGCAGAAGCAAGCCCTGGATTTATTTTCTGCAATGAGAATACATTGCTGAAAAAGTACTCAGTACAGGACAGCTGCCCTAAAAAGGAACTGCAACCTAACTTAGACCTTCATAAATTTGCCACATGATCAAAGAACTGTGTAGCCTGAAACATCACAACTTCCTGAGATTTATTCCCCCTTTCCACCATTGTTACCATAAAATAGAATCTAGGATTACAATAAAAGGAAATGCAAACAAAAATCAAAGCCACAAAAGCAAACACCCTTATTTAAATTTCCTTTCAAGAGCCCCAGCTAGAGACCAATCCTTTTCCAGCATGAGCTACGCAAATCAGAATAATTACGAAAACACTCAGTCCTCCCTTTACTAAGTTGAACACAAAGCTAAAAAAAATTTTTAGGTGTCTCATCAGGCCTGTATTTGAGAACCTAATTTCCAAATCCTGTAAAACAGGCTACAGTAGTTTGGAGAGCCTTCGGTGCAGAAAAGTCTTACCAGTTTCCTGATACGCTCTAGGACCAAATCAATGATCTCTTTTCCAACTGTGTAGTGACCTCGAGCATAGTTGTTTGCAGCATCTTCTTTACCAGATATCAGTTGTTCAGGATGAAAGAGTTGCTTGTATGTCCCATTCCTAACTTCATCTGGGGAGACATGATGAATATACTTTTTATAGTCATTTAGTTTCTACACAGACCATGTTTTTCAAACTTCTGAGGAGGTCCAGAATAAGGTATCCAAACCCATATCTAGAAATAAAAAGTAGCTTTATTTCTACCTATCAGTGATATATAATACCCACTACAGCTAAGTGTTGAATCCCCGAGGAAATTAAGCTACTGCTTAAGAATCATGCCCTAGCCTATCCATGTAAGTTGAACTTATTTTTGTCCTGCCAGAGCAATTTAAAAGCAAAAGTGCATCAACAGAAACCCTTTTCTATAGTTTATAAATCTTCACTTAAGGCCCAGTCTCCAGATCAGTAGCATCTGAAATATTGCTCTTCCCCCATATTTTCCAAGCCCTCCAGGCTGTTGCCTATTGCTTCTGCAGCAGTGGGCAGTCACTGCCCATCTCACTTAATCTCTCCCTTTCTCTTGATTGTACTTTCTGCCAAGAGTAGAAAAGAATGTTCAAGAGGAACAGGAGATGCTCCTTTAGAGATGCCAGTAATCTGAGTACTGCTACAGCAAAAAATTTCAGCATAATTGTCAGTGTAAGAAAGAAGCCATATGAATGCACACAGAACATCCCCCTAGTCATTGCTAGTCACATCTAGCAATCTAACAATTTGTCCTATCACAAAGGGACAAAGATAACTCCGCATTGTCCCTCGTTTAGCTCAAGCCATTCTTCAGCTGTACGGTAATGCAGCACTACATCTTTTAATTGAAGTCAGGTAGAAAGCCAAGACAGCTTTACTAAGTAGAGATGAAGTTGTCTCCTGGCATATATTGTTTTTAATCTGAAAGTGAGCCAGCAAGACTTAAAGATAAGCATAATTCAAGATTTAAAAACACAGTTACTATTTGAACCAATTTGGGCTGACCAGCTACCACTGCAGTTTGTAATCCAATACTCTAAAACATTTCTAAGACTACACCAGAATACAATTTGGAGAAGTCAGCATAATTCAAAACACAGATGTTTAAGATGCTTTGCATTACCATTAAAGTAAAGGAGATCCATGGGTAAAAGGAAAAAGCATGCAACTACAGCAGCAGGAGGGGCCAACATGAGTCAAAACGGTTCTGGGGAAGTATCAAACTTTCAGACTTAACCTCTAAGTCTTGCACTATGAAAGTGCACCGGAAGACGCTAATATAATCTCCAACTGAACCTATTCTCTGGATATGCCATCCTTTCATGTTAAGTCTAATCGGGGAAGATTCAAAGACACGTCAAATTCTCAGACATGCAACTGCCCTATTTCTTGGTGGCAAGTTTGATGGTATTTTATACATCCTACACAGAACTAGTGTAACAAACGGAACAAACTTGCTGCTTTCGTTAAGGACGGCATCTATCCAGAAGCTCCCTTGTGTATGCACAATAGGCTTTTTGTAAACATAGTGCATAGCCATGCTGCATGTGTATGAGAACCACCATGTAGCCCAGAAAGTAAAATCAATAATTTTCATATAAAAAGGGAGGGAATAAAGAAAGAAGGCAGGTCCTCAGACAGGCACAAAATGTAACCTTTGTAACAGAAAGCCCATCCTTCATAGTATTACCAAGTATTTCATAAGACAAATCTTTCGCCTGTCTCCCATACACTGCTTCCCTCATTAGCAAATGAGGAAATCCTGCCTTTTACCATTTGTCCCAAGACTCATCAGCTATTACCCTAGAGGCAGGGTAAGTTCCACCACCTGCTCTCCCTTGCCTCAATTTCTCAGCCTCTTCTGGTTGCTTAGAGCCACCACCTGGCCAGCCGAAGCAACAGCCATGGGCTCAGGAAAACAGGAGTGCCAGGCCCACAGCACCTACTGGGAACAATAAAGAGCAGGGTCAGGTGGTGTTTTGGCTATTTCAAAGTCTGACACTCCCACCCTTTACCTGTTCAACACTTCTCTCCTATAGAAGTTCCCTACTATAACAGGCACACAAAGTGGTCTGGAGCACTAAAATGAAACAAACGTCAAGACGCTCTGTCTGGGTATACAAGAATAGCCTAAGCCTAGTCACTGATGTCCCCTTCCCAACTCTTTATGCATTATAGAAAGAAACACAGTAACTGCACCAGCACAGGCAATGCAGAACTTCTGAGAGCCCAGAATCACTGCTTCAGACAAGGCAGCCATGAAACTGGCTCCAACAGAATGACTTTACAGGCACACAGAGATTGATGAAAGCAAAGACAAGACTGATGACAAATGGAAGAAGGGCTTGTGAAACAGGGGGCTCACATCAGGCTGGGCACATCCCTGATGCCATGGATTAGCCAGTGGCAGATGTGGACTGAACACTACAAACACCAGCATTGCCAGAGCCGGGATAAGAGCAGATTGTTTTTCAAAGATCAGGTAACATGGAGTTGACATGCAAGAATTTGTACTGTTCAAAACATGGGTATACTAGGGAAAAAATTTAATCACAATTTAAATCAGGCCTCAAGTCTGTAAAGGTTTGGAGGCCCCTGAATTTAGGATAGCAACTGAAGATTCATTTCTGCAAGTGCTATTCAAGCTACAGAGATGAAGTAGAAAACAGTTTTGGAAAGGCACAGGAATCATTCCTTTGTACAAGGGGAAATCTACTTAATGATATATATTTCTTTTTTAAAAAGTTCCTATTGACTGATGCACATTTTATGCCATGATATTGTTTCAAAAGTTTAAAGTCAGTTCCTTGAAGAGCAAGTATTGGCATATTCAGAAGATACATTTAATACTACAGATTGGCAGAGGGCAATGTTTTAAGTTCTTTACAGCTCTAGAGCACACACTATTTGCCAAAGTCTCAAAGAATGTAAAGCAAAGTATTTGCTGAATCACTAGGAAGATGTAGGCAAGCTTTGCACAGTAAACACTTAAAACCCCAAAGCATTTTGCAGGATTGGAAAAGGAGGACCCTCAGGCAAAAAACATCCAAGTTGAATCCAGTCTTACAGTATGTTCTACAGTCCCTCATGTGGATCACTGTATTTACCTATTACTGCTGGTTCAAGGTCCACAAACACAGCACGAGGGACATGTTTTCCTGCACCAGTCTCGCTGAAGAAGGTGTTGAAGGAGTCGTCACCACCACCGATGGTTTTATCACTGGGCATGGTACCATTGGGCTGGATGCCATGCTCCAAGCAGTAGAGCTCCCAGCAGGCATTTCCAATCTGCACACCAGCTTGACCAACATGGACTGAGATGCACTCACGCTGTGCAGAGGGGGGAAAAAAAATTGGATCACTCAGCAGAAAGAGCAGTTTCCTTGTTTAGAAAACATTCAGCACACAACTCTTGAACTCCCACACTGCCACGCTATTAAAACATTGGCTTCACTGTCTTGGCATTTGGCACAAAATTTGACAGAACAAATGCTTCTTTCAGTCATCACCTACCTCCACCTAGAAAGACCTTTCTGAACATTCTTATAAGCTCATTTCTCCTTGTTGTTCGTATCTTCTTCCAGAGTGTAAGAGTTTGACCAGCTCTCCCAAACCCTTCAGTGGACTTATCTCCACAAACACTGAATAATTAGAAAAAGTGTTGACTAACACCTGTCACTGGCCTAAGTGTCCAGAAAACACCCCTAGCATTCCAACTCCAGGAGCCACCAGAGGGAGCAAAACCTTTTGCAACACCAGGACCATTTTGTTTTTAATGTGTAAAGATAGAAAAAACCCTTTCCTGATCATTTTAGGAAACTTGGGCATTCTCCAAGAGTCTTTGCCCAACTAGACCCTTACTACCACTTCACAAATATGGAACGTTAGGCCTAACACACACATTGCTGTATGCCAAGTACTAAACGCCTTAACATTGAACAAAACCACCTCACTAAACAGCCAACTAAGCTGTGTAGAAAAATAGTTCACATCAGCAGAAGAATCAATTCATACCAATTTATGGATTCCTGAGTCTCCTTGAATGTCCAGAGCATAATCTTATGATATTTCAACATAGGGTTTTGAATAAGGAAGCTAAAAAGCCAAACCACAGCTGTACTAACCATCTCCAAACTCCAGGTCTCTCTGCAGAATTTTACATCTAACTTGTTTCTCATTCTGAGTGGCAGTTAACCACTCTAGAAGAATGTGAGTATACACTAGCTTTGAATAACAGTCACCAATGTAACTACATTCAGACCCTAACATTTGGGTAGTACAATGAATTTGCCCCCCTAAAATTCCAGATTCAGGGCAGCCTGAAACAGCCTAGTCCACATCAATAGTCAATGCAGGAGAACAGGCACGCATAATCATTTCCATTTCTCTGGGAACTTCAAGAAATTCAGATCAATATTTGCTAAAAAATACTACCTATTCTCAACCACAGTACTGTACAGCCGAGACCAGTTGTTTCTCAGCTCCCCATCCATCTTTGCAATATTTTCAACTATCAAGAGTTTCCAGAACAACAATCCACATCCTCTCTGCAACCAGCCTTACCAAAGTCTTCTCTCCCTCATCTCAAAGAGATTCCACCCTACTCCTCTCCAAGACCATTACTTCTTCCCACTCTGGTTCAAAAGGCCTGGGCTTGGCAGCATACTGGAATAGTACTGAATAGCCAACCTAGACACTGTAAAAAGAGCAACAGGAAAAGCTTCAGTATACAGCCCAATAAGGCTGTACTGCTCCAGAGACACTAGGCCACGGCAATGAATCAGGCCACAATCATTTTCAGGAGAGCAGCGGGTCAGCCTGCAACTCTTCTTTCTCTAGGGAAGAGAAAATTAGTATAGATATTAACCTCACCACTTCAGACTGGAACCTGCCCTGCAGTGAGATGAGCTTCATTTGTGAAGCTCCTCAGCAGCAGGGGAAGAGCAGGGGAAGGAAGCATGGACTAACATTCCCAGTAAGGTGGAAGCATGGAATTTGTCAGAAAACATGCAACTTTCCAGCATCCAATTAGCTAGGGTCTCTTTCTGAAACTACCCAAAATAACAGCAATCATTCATGTTCCAAAGAAAAAAGTCAAGTCCTGGAAAGTACAATTTGCTCAACATAGCAGGTGAAAGACCACAGAGCCCACGTCCTACAGATGCCATGTTAAAAACATAAATATTTAATTTGACAACATGCAAAGTTCCACTCTTGGGACAAAATAACTCCATGCATCAGTACAAACTAAGAAGCCATTAACAGTGAAGCAGCTCTGCTAAAAAAAAACTGAGGGTTAAAGCAAAAGCCAGCTCGAATGAACAAAGAGCACATACTGAGTGTGAACAAGGCTGACAATCTATTGGGCTATGCAAGGAAATAAATGGCCAGCATATCAAGGGAAGTTACCCTCTACTCTGCACAGTACCTCTACTCTGTGCCTGAAATAGGCTGCCCGGAGAGCGTAAAGGACCCAGAGCATTCCCACAGGGACAACTGGTGGGAGCTGGGCTTGCTTAGTCTGGCAAAGAGGAGTGTAAGGGGCCATCTAATAACAGTCTACAACTACTGAAGGGGCAGTTACAAAAGACACAACACTTGTCAGCAGGAGCAAATCAGATAAGAGGGAGACAACCACAAAGAAAGGCTTGGGAGCTTCAGGTTGGACATTAGGAAAAGCTTCCCCAGCACAGTGGGGCAGCCCTGGAACAAGTCACCAGATACATGGGAAGAGATCTCCATCCTTGGAGGTTTTCCCCAAGACTTGGCTAGACAAAGCCACAGACAGCCTGACCTAACACTAGCAGTAGCCCTGCTTTCAGAGGTCTCTTCCAACTGCTTTCCTGCAAATCTACAAAGCATTTTAAAGTAGTATGTGACTATTTAGAGAAGCATGAATTATTAGAATGTCTAATATCTAATAGGCTCTATTTTGCTCTGTATAACCTCTTCACTAAGTTAAGTTTGGCAAAGTATCTGGAACACTGAAGAACAGAATGAAATCTGAGCCTTCAAATTACAACTTCAAAGTCCTAGAGCCAGGCAACAAACTACTCTCCTACTCATTACAACTCTGGGCCCTTAGACATTTCCAAGCAGAGGTTTCCTAGCAGAGAAGGTTCAAACATACATTACACCCAGTACTGCTAAGTGCTGTACTCAAACTGCAAGTCAGAACCAAAGGAATCCTAAAATAATCAAAACACTAAATGTTGCTTTCCCTCCATCACTTACACTGATTCTGTCCTTCAAAATATTTTGAGTGAAAGTCAAGCCCTTTACTTTCATGAGAACGTTTGTACTGGCTTAGACCGACTTCCAGGAAGCTGAACACCACACCATAAACAGGAATGTGGTTTTCCTGGGATGACACTCATCCCTTGCAGTTGCTATGCTGACCAATGATGTGGGAAACTGCATCACATGCAGTAGTCAGGGACTACATTCACACTTTGACCTGGCTTAATTTAAAAAACGTAACCATAAACAGCTCCCCAGAGATTAAGAACAAGGCAAGCGCATTAATATTTCCCTCTAACATTCTCATAACCTCTTTTCAGTGCAGAAAAGTTTTCTATGCATTCAGTAATCCACAGAAACAGTCTGCCATATTTTTTTAATTCCAAGCTTCTGACATCCACAACCTCTTCTGACAGAAGTCTACAGAACAAACATCCACCACATGGAGAAGCACCTTGCGCTTGTCCTGAAGCTAAGAACTTCATTTGATGCTCCCACAATTCTTGTTCTGGAAGACTGAAGAGTTGATCTCTCCCATCCTATCGATGTTACAGCCCTTTCAGTTATCCCTTCAAGGCTGATCAGTCCTAACTTACGAGGTCATTCCAACTCTTCGGTTTTATCACCTTCTCAGTCTAACAAAGTCCTTCAGGAAACCTCCACAGTCAGTCCATTTCCTGACTACCCTAAACCACTCCATACCAACACCATCACCTGACTGCGCCGCTGGGGCTACAACTATAAAAAAAGAGCAAGTCACATGACTCCAGAAAAAACCCAGCGCGAGTTGAACGCGAGCCACCCATGTTTTCCACACAGCGCCCAGAAGGTCCCGCCCTCCCGTTTTTCTCTTTAACGGCACCGGGAGCTCATCCCCTCCACGGGGGAAGGGGCGCCGCGCTCCCG